GAAAAATAAAAATGAATTTTAAAAATGAAGAAAGACTACAGATCCATGGGACAACATTAAGCATACAAATATCCATATTATGGGTGTTCCAGAGGGAGAAGATAAGGGAAAAGGCATCAAGAACCTATATCATGAAATAATAGCTATAAACTTCCCAAGTATTAGAAGAGATATGGATTTCCAGATCTAATTGGTTCAAAGATCCCCAAACATATTAAATCCAAAAAGGTCCTTACCAGAACACATTATAGTCAAATTGTCAAAAGTCAAAGACAAAGAGAATTCTAAAAACAGCAAGAGAAAAGCATCAAGACTAACCAGCATATTTCTCAGCAGAACCTTACAGACCAGGAGAGAGTGGGATGATATATTCAAAGTGCTGAAAGAAAAAAACTGCCAGCCAACAATACTACACCCAGTAAAGCTATGCTTCAGAAATGTAGGAGAAATAGTGTCTTTCCCAGACAAACAAAAATTGTGGAATTTTACCAACACAAGACTGGCCCTAGAAGAAATCCTGAAGGGAGTCCTACATCTGGAAGCAAAACAAAAATAAGTACTATCATGATAACAAATGAAAGAATAAAACTCACTAGTAGAACAGATACACAAATGAGAAAGACAGAAATTATAACTTGTCACTACAAAAAACCACCAAACAGCACAAACAATAAAAGAAAGAAAGGAACAATATATAACACAACCATAAAAAAATTAATAAGTCAGGAGTAAGGCAATACCTTTCCATAACATCTTTCAATGTGATGGATTGAATCTTCTATTTAAAAGATATAGACTGGCTGAACATATTAAAAAACAAGACCCAACTACATGCTGCCTACCAGAAACACATTTCCCTTGTAAAGACACACACAGACTAATAGTGAAGGGATGGAAAAAGATATCCCAAGCAAATGAAAACCAAGAACAGGAAGGAATAGCTATATGTATTTAAATTTTTTTTTTTTTATTGAAGCATGGTTAATTGTACAATTCTATGGGGTAAAGAATTGAATATCAATACCTGTGTGCAATATGTGATGCTCAAATCAGGTTATTGGTATATTCATCATTATACAATGTAATCATTTTTCATGAGACTTCAAACAATAAACTATAAAAACAAACGAAGAAGGACACTGTATAATGATAAAGGGATCCATTTGGCAGGAAGATGAAACAACTGTAAATATATATGCACCCAACATAGAAGCACCCAGATATATAAAGCAGACATTATTGGATCTAAAGGGAGAGATAGACCCCAATAGAATAATACTTGGGGCCTTCAATACCCCTTCTCAGCATTAGATAGATCATCTAGAAAAAAACTCAACAAAGAAACATTGGATTTAAACTGCACTATAGACCAAATGGACCTAACAGACATTTAAAGAACATTTCATCCAACAACTAAAGAACATGCAATATTTTCATCAGCACATTGATCATTCTCCATGTTAGCCCACGTTAGCCCACAAATCAAGTCTTTACAAATTTTGAAAAGATGAAATCATCTCAAGTATCTTTTCAGACCACAACAAAATAAAACTAGAAATCAATAACAAACAAAACTTAGGACACTATACAAATACATGGAAATCAAACATGTTTGTGTATGGCCAATGGGTCAAAGAGAAATTAAGCAAGAAATCAAAAAAACCTTGAAATAATGAAAATAGAAGCACAACATACCAAAACCTATGGGAGACTGCAAAAGAAGTAATAAGAGGCAAGTTTACTGTAACAAGTGCTTACACTAAAAAAGTCGAAAAATTTTAAATAACCTATCTAGTTCTTCAAGGAACTAGAAAAGCAAGATCAACCCCGAAGTTAGTAGATGAAAAGAAATAATAATAATAATAATAATAATGAAAGAGACCAAAAAAGGATATGAAAGGTCAACAAAACAAAAAGTTGTTTTTTGAGAAGACAAACAAACTTGACAAACTATTAGCAAGACTAAGAAAAAGAGGAGACCCAAATAGTGAAAATCAGAAATGAAAAAGGAGACATTACAATGGATACCTCAGAAATTATCATAAAAATCATTATTATCAAATCATTACTATTAATGCCATATACAAAGAATCATTTGAGACTATTGGAAAATCTAGAGGAAGTGGATAAATTTGTGGCCACATACAACTTACCAAGACTGAATCAAGGAGAAACAGATAACCTGAATAGACAACAACAGATTGAATCAGTAATCAGTGGTCTCCCAACAAAGAAAAGCCCGAGACCAGATGGCTTCACTACTGAATTCTACCAAACTTTAAAAAAAGAATTAATACCAATTCCTCTCAAACTATTCCAAAAAGTCAATGCAGAGAATATTCTCCTAAACTCATCCTATGAGGCCAGCATCACCTTCATTCCAAAATCAGATGAGGACACAACATAAAAAGAAAATAATAAGACAGTATTCCTGATGAACATAGATGCAAAATTTCTCAACAAGATATCAGCAAAAAACATTCAATATCAAATCAAAAAGATTATACACCATGATCAAGTGGGATTTACTTCAGGGA